GGAAAGATCTGAATTATATGAAAAAGAAAAGTTTTGACTGGTTCAATATTTAAAAAGTTTAATTTTAAATATATTTACTTACAATTGCAATAAGAATTAGAGATTTATGATAAATATTATTTTTAGAAAGCTAGTCAATTATGCAAATAATTTCAAGATATTAATGAACAACTACTTAGATAGTTCAATATATTAATTTGTTTTAGTAGAGTTTATTTCAATATGTAAAATGCATTTGTATAAAACTCAATTTGCCATTAATTATTTATTGCACACATATTTTACTGTAAATTACAAGGTCATTAATTAAAAATAATATTAAAACACAACAGAGAATTTTAGAATGTAATTTATTTCCAAAAATAGTTTAAATCATATTTTAAGTAGTGTATGAAATTATCCATTATATATTGTTGACACTATTGCTTAAAATATGAGATTGTTTTAATTATGATGTTTAAAACAAGAAAATATATTATAATTACATCATATTATAAATACATTTCCCAACCCGCATGAATATTTATGTCATTGCAACTTGGTCATCGTTAATACTTTTGGTCAGTTCATAATTTAATTTATATTTTAAATACTATAATTAATCTTCAAACTGCGCAGTGAAACTCTTGTTTATTTAAAGGATGAGTGTTTTTTCTCAATTAATAAATATCTTCTTGTCTCTGGAGTTCTTGCGCATTTAAAGACTAAAGATGATCCAAGTCCAATAGCATAAACATAAACTATTATTACTTAATATTATATAAATTACTAAAATTAAAATTTGTTTTTTTTATCTAAATTTAGTCATTGCTATTACAGGTAAATAAATAAATAATTGTAGATAAATTTACATAATTAATATTAGAAACACATAATAAAACTACATGACTTACATAATATAAATACTTACATACTATAAATATAAATATAAATTATTTGAGATTTGTTCGGTTTTTTAACCTTTTAGGGCGATTGGCCAAATTTATAAATGTTGACATGTTGACAACTTCACTACTATTTTTATAAATTATTTATTGAAGTGTTGTACGCCCTGTGTATCCCAAAGTTTCGGGTGAACCTAGGCTAAATCCTGTACGGCTTTCCCGAACAATTTCGTCAATATTTTTTCCATAATTGTTTGATGTGGCCAAGATGACGGATGTAAACGAGAAGCCAGATAGCACATCTGTAAATAATAGTGAATATCAATATTTAAGTAGTGATAAAGAAACTAAAAAAAGTGGTGATTATATTTTGCGCAATATATGAAGTGTTTTTGTGATAATTATGGAGCTCATTGTTGCTGTTGGTGAATTAAGGTGAGTGAGTTGATAATATTTCAAAATACGTTGATAGCATGTTCATATTGAGATACATTATTACATAAAGTAAACAAATACTCTTAAAACTACAATAATCGCGAATATTAATTGTTGCTTTAATTTTGCAAAAGTTTTTGACATGTCATGTCACCCCCATTGATGTTTTGACAGTCAAACAAATTGAATCAAATTTAATCAATAAACTAGTTGTGTATGGCATCGTGCTTTGAGGCAAATTACTAGAACTTCCCGTATCGAATTAAAATTTTGAAAATTTGAGTTATTCACTATATCCAAATATGCAAAAATTGAAACGAATATTTTTTTTCTTTTCCGAAAAACAATCGCGTTTCGTCAACATCACAAGCTGAAAGTTTTTTGAATCATTCAAATCGGATGTTTATTTATCTCAAAAAACTGCCACTTTTGCACATTTAGCTCTGTATCTCCGAAACTGCTGGACCTGCCTTTGCCAAAAACTAATCATCACTTCTCCCCATCATTACGAATTGAATGCTTTTTAGACCATTCAAATCGCATGCTCCGTTCTCTCATAAACTCGATGTCTATTTTCTATACTCTTTACTCTGTATATCCGAAACCGCTGGACCTGCCTTTGCCAAAAACTAATCAGTACATCCCCGTGTCAATAGGAATCGAATGTTTTTTAAATTGTTCAAATCGGTTGATCCGTGCGTCCGAAAACGTGGACGAAAAATTGTATCCATACATACATACTTACACACCACACATACAAACACATCAATTTTTTTAAGGTATGGCAAAATGTTCAGAACCCTTCAAAACGGGAAGATATACAAAAACTTTCAATTTCGATTTTTGGACGATTACAATACTTACCCCACGAGAAGATATCTACAAATATTTATTAATCCTTAATGTTGATCATTATTAATATTAATTATATTTATTCAAGTGACTATCTGTCTAAGAGTCTACCTTAGACTCAAACTTATCAACATTTGTACCTGCCTACCTATTCACTCGATTACATTACATTTCTACCTGTCAACCTATCATCGACCTACCTATCTATTTGTTTTCCTATTTGTCTATTTGCCAATTTGTCTACCTGTCTTTTTGTTCACCTGTCTGTCTACCTGTCCAACAGTCACTTGGGTATCAATATTTCTACATGAATCAATAATAATGATCTGCAATGATCATTTCAAACCACCAAATCAATGAATTTTTGAATATTTTTCCTGCAACTCTGAAACTGCTGGATCTGCCTTTGGAATAATGTAATAAATTTTTCACCTTCTCAATACCAATAAAATGTTGTTTGAATCATTTGAATCGGATGCTCCGTTCTCAAAAAAACTGAATTTTCGTTTTTTGCACCTTTGGCCTCGTATCTTTAAAACAGCTGCATCTGCCTTTGTGAAAAACTAATTAGCACATCTCCCCATCAATTGGAATCGAATGTCTCTTAAATCATTCAAATCGGTTGATCAGTGCTATCGAAATTGTGGACGAAAAATTGTATCCACACAAAACACACACATACAGACATCCATATTTTCTAAGGTATGCCAAATGTTCAGGGGGTCTTGAAAACGAAATGTAAAGATGTACCAAAACTTTCATTTTTGATTTTTTTGCGATTACTATAACCATTTAAATGTTTTATAAATACCAATGAGTATATAATTATACAAATGACATTGTTCAGAGCACCGTGTTTGAGAAAAATATGCCAAAAAGTGCATTTTCATATCAATATATTCATATACTCTTCTTTCATCTATGACTATAACTTACCCTACGGGAAGTTAATAAATGTATTTTAATACTATTATTAATGTTTCTTTTTCAATTTTATTGCGCAAATCACTAATTTCCTTTTTCAATGCTTATATCGCCCAATGCATCTCAATTTTTCATACCTAGAAATCTAGTTTGGATGTTTTTTTGCAAATAACGAAAACATTTCTGCTCCAAATTAATAATTCGAAGAAGTTTGTTTAATTTGCCATAAATTTTCATAAAATCGTTATTAACTTCCCGTAGGGTCAAGTTATAGTAATCGCAAAAAATCGAAAATGAAAAATTTTATAGATCTTTACGTTTCAAAATCTTCTGAACATATTGGCATACCTTAGAAAAAATGCATGTATGTGTTGTGTGTGTGTGTGTATGCGTGTGCGGATACAAATTTTCGTCGACGATTTTGGGAACACGGATCAACCGATTTGAATAATTCAAAAAAACATTCGATTTGTATTGATAAGGAGACGTGCTGATTAGTTTTTGGCAAAGGCAGGTCTAGCCGTTCCCAAGATACGGGGCAAAAAGTGCCGAAAACGGTAACTCAGTTTTTAAGAGAACGGAGGGTCCGATTTGAATAATTCAAAAAACATTTTATTTGTTTTGACTAAATGAAGAACTGTTCAAATTTGGAAAGGCAGGTCCAACGACTTCGGAGATACGGTAGAAAAAGTAAAAAAATGAGCCATTTGGCGGTCAAAAATGATCATTAGACATATGTACATCAAATTATCAGATATTTTAACAATAAGTATAAATTTTGTTTGCATTCCTATGTGTTCCGTACCAATGCTTATTCATTAGAAGGCGATGCGGTGCTTACGCGCTTCGATATTTCGTCTCCATGCAGTTAAAGCAGTACGATTGCTTTGAAAAAAAGTTCAGAATTTCCAAAACATGTCAAAATAAAGAAAACATTTTTAAAAATAAAAAAAAAATTTTTTTCAAAAAAGTAATTTTTTGTCAAATTCCTAGTTTGTCAAAAATCTAATTTTTTCGATGTAAAATTTTTTCAAAAATGTTAATCGTTTTTGAAAAAATAATAATATTTGGTACGGGAAGTTCCAGCAATTTGCCTTAAGGCACGATGCCTTAATTGCCTTAAGACAGAATTCCACTTACAGCTAGTTTAGTTTATTGTTGACAACAAACATTTCTTCATCAAACTTATTTATGTCTTGCGTACATATATCATGTTTTAGAAGATTTTTTAATCTGTATTGCACTGAATCGATATCATATTTATTTCTTTTTCGAATAAATTATTATTGCTAAAGATGTAATTGCCTGTTGGCCGGAAATTGTAAAATGCAAAGGTAGGTTTGGTCTGGTGTTTTCTGTTGCTTGATTATAGGATTGATTTAGTACGGATGCTAGATGATAGTGAACGCAAAACGCAAATTGTTGACCATTAGAAGCGCACGTTATATCCGCGTTGCTCACCATAAGCGTACTACTTGGGGGGATGAATCACGTGATTGAAGTTTTTGGATTTTTGAACCCCCCCCCTTCCCCCCATGGTGATACGTCGTGATATTCAAAATTAAACCTCCAAATTTAGATAAAATTAATACACGTGATATATTACTAGACCCCTTTTTCCCCTAGGTGATTTTTCGTGTTTTTTGTCAACCCCCCTCTCCGTAAAAGCCTCACGTGATTAATGGACGTCCCCTTGTGTAAATCTGATATAAGATGTCTAAATTTAAACTTAACAAATTTAAACAATTCAATCAAATTTCGTATCAAAAATCGTATATTATATTATTGCATTTCATTCTAATCAATCAGTTTATGAGATAAAATCAAAGTTACTACTTTGGTGATGATGGTGTCTGTATCATGAAAAATGCTATTTTAACTTCTTAAAGGATGGAAATTTATTGTTTTTCCAAAAAAATAGATTTGCTAATTTTATGTATCCTCGATGTTGTAATTCATTCTGAATCGTTTGACCCCTAAATTGAATAAAATATGTGGGCTACGGCGGATCACTTGTCCATTTTCTCTTCATTTTATAACTCTCTACTGTACCATGAAAAATGCTGTTTCAACTTCCTGAAGAAAAAGTTTATTGTTTTGCCAAAAATTGTGATTTGCTAATTTTATGTTTCCTCGATGTTGTAAGTCATTCTGAATCGTTTGACACTTAACTTAGAAAAAGTATGTGGGCTGCGGCAGATCACTTGGCCATTTTCTCTTCAGTCGCCTTAATTTTTCGGCTAACTGGACTACTTGTATTTCAGGGGTCTTATATCCATCTAATTTATCTTGGAAAATTGAGCTTCTGCTTTCAATGACCTTTGCCACTGTGGGTATTTTCAAGTCTTGTATCAAATTGTTGGTCATAAACTATGGAGATTTGCTGGTCATTCTTAGGGACCGATTCTGCCGCACAACAGACCAATGTTATGGCAAGGCCATGTTACGCTCCTTCTTCCATACATTATGCTACTGAATCATACTGAATACTGTCAAAATGTCATGTATTTGCTGTACTTTCAGACGTTTTACACATAAACTGCAATGTCACTCGTATGTTTTGAAGCTCTGTCAGACACACCCTGTTATCTAAGATCGTTTTTCTGACATTTGTGCGATTTATAGATTAGGTTTTCTATCTGACAACCTGAGAAAATTGCCTGATTGCGCACCAACCACATGGATTTTGTCAATATATAGTATGAAAAGTTCTTCGTAACATGGCCTTGCCTTAAGATTTTTCTATTATGCGGCAGAATCAGTCTCTTAGTATCTTGTTTTGAGCTATCTGAATTATAAGTATGTTGCTGGCACAACCCTACAGTTTTATATTGATATTTCTATATTGGAATTATCATCACTTTGTAATAGTAGAAGCTTGTTTTCGATTAAGATTGTGGATGATCTTCTTATGAGCCAGTTCAATCACTTCATTTTAAGATCTATGTATTTATTTTTTATTGTTGTTTTTATCGGGTTTTTGATACCTACATATTTAATTTGGATGTTTGCATTTTCCAGTTGAGTTTTCTGGCAATGTGCATGCCTAGGTATTTTGCAGATTCTTGATTTGGAACAGCTGCATTAATCA